CCCAACTTCTCCAGTCATGAAATAGATACCCCCCACCCCAGCACACACCCACCCTTCTTCTAAGTGAGAGGGGAGAACAGCCAGTTGTTGCTCTAGTTTTTGTTTTCATGCCACGTTTAGTCTCACTACATTTCCCTGTTGTTAAATCTTTCTCCATTCCAACGCATAGTGATGCAATCCCATAAAGCCTACCCCTGCTACTACAACTTCCCCTAGCACCATTACCCCCAGCAAGTACTGCGCACGCTCGATTTTGTCTTCCTTTCTTGCTTGGGAAAAACCATTGAGGGCCAAACCAAAACAAACAGAAGGCCGATCCCATTTGCTCTTCTTGCTTGTTCCTGTTTAATACTAGCTGAAGTACCAGTCTCCGTCGGGTAAAGATTTAGGTCAGCCGTTGTTCCCTGTGGTCATCCTCAGGTGTATATCGAATGTAAATAAGGTAAATAATGATAACTTCTCATCCCAGAAATTCAGACAGTAAGTATGCCAATATGTATACAAATATAATCATCATCATCATCATCATCATCATCAGTCTCGTGACTGGGTGTGGTCGAAGGGTCACTGAACATTTGACCAATTCTTTCAACCTATCTAGGTAGAAAGCCAGAAAAGTATTCGTTCATGCGTAGCGTGTCATAGGAGAGTAAACCTGGCGAAGCCCGTCCTTCTACAGGTCAAACAGCTGATGTCCTCCAACTTGTAGAAGCTGTGTCTGCCATCAACATTGTCACCTGCATATCTTATGTTGTTAAGTTTTGGCCGCCAACAATGAATCCTTCTAGGACACTGTATACGTTAAATGAGTCTGGTGAGAAGACACATCTTTGTCTCGCACCTCTTTCTGTATTCGTATATTTACTAAATTCATTTACCATTGGTATAGGTTCTGAATTATTTTAATATCCTTCCCAAATATGTAAAGACTACCTAGCAGACACTATTTACATTATTCGGACTATTATCCTCATCTTTGTCGCCATATTTATCACAACGTTTCGGCCGTTGTACGCTCCAGTCTTCTTCAGGTGGTTGGAATGTCGAACTTAACCCTTTATTTCGCTCACTGGGATAGACTGTTCTAGTTCCACGTGCCATGTTTAATGGATGTCAGTTATCAGTTATATTTAATTTGTTAATTTCCCTCTAAATGTTCTCCACTGCCTTAGCCGGGTATTGAACTCACACTGTTTGGATCCTGTCACTGGATCTAACTAACGCCTTTATCCACTGAAGAAGGCCGGAGCGTACCACGGCCGAAACGTTGTAATAAATATGGCGACAAAGATGAGGACAATAGTTCGAATAATGTAAATAGTGTACATAATAACTCTTCTCAGAAATATAGACAGATACTGAAAGGCCGAAACGTTGTAATAAATATGGCGACAAAGATGAGGACAATAGTTCGAATAATGTAAATAGTTTACATAATACCTCATCTCAGAAATATAGACAGATACTGAAAGGCCGAAACGTGGCAATAAATATGGCGACAAAGATGAGGTCAATAGTTCGAATAATGTAAATAGTGTACATAATACCTCATCTCAGAAATATAGACAGATACTGAAAGGCCGAAACGTGGTAATAAATATGGCGACAAAGATGAGGACAATAGTTCGAATAATGTAAATAGTGTACATAATACCTCATCTCAGAAATATAGACAGATACTGAAAGGCCGAAACGTTGTAATAAATATGGCGACAAAGATGAGGACAATAGTTCGAATAATGTAGATAATGTACATAATACCTCATCTCAGAAATATAGACAAATATTTAGGTCACCGTTCATCCGAATGAGAGTAAAACGATTCCTTCGTATGATGCTTATGGTTGCTTATTAAATCCTACGGTATATAAGAACAGCTGATTGTCTGGCAATCAGACAACATACTTTGTATTTGACTTTGTATCCGGCCAATGCAAAATATATATATGCGTATGCTTGTTTTGTACATGAGTGACTTACAAGTGCTTTTGATAGTTGATGTACACATGCACACACAGTTTAAGAAGACATTTGAATAATACATTTCGCTCTCACTCTGTCGAGACAACCTTTACCCTGGGCTGACAATAAAATGACAGTGTTGGAGAAAGAAAATTAAATATATATATATATATATATATATATATATATATATATATATATATATATATATATAATAAATTGCTTAAACACTAATATTCCATGGTCATGATATTAGTGTTGAAGCCTTTTTATTATATCCTTACTCTGTCCTGGACATTGAGTTCTACCTGGATTCTATCCTCTCGGAATTTTTTATTCAAAAAATATATATGTATGTGTATGCACCTATGTATATATATCTATATATTTTGCATATGTATGTGTATATTTGCCACTAATAATATTATCTATCTATCTATCTATCTATCTATATATATATATATATATATATATATATCAAAGTGTAGGAGAACAAACAGTAATATTACAGCGTAAATTCTAGAAAACATTTTATTAA